TTGCACCATCTTTTGTAAATTGCTCTTGTGCAAAAGCCAACAGTAATGAAGAATAAGTAAGAAGTTCAAGTGCACGTAAGACAAGTTTCATGTATATTATATACACAAGTTAAGTATTATTAAGACAACTAAACAATAGTATAGAAGGCGGAGAGAAGAAAAGGAAAGTGAGCTATTCAGTTCGAGTTAGCAATCACGCTACAAAAGTAACAAATGACAGAGGATGGGAGAGTGAGAGACTTTTCATTGAAGAGCTTCATCTAGATCACTATCTCACCATTGACCGATATCGCAAGAGAATATCCGGCTCCCATTCCCTCCTTGCTCTGGTAATTGCAATTTGTTGAGGGAGAAAACGTTCCAAAGGGAAGTCCAATCACCGAGAAAATTGAAGCCCCAAAGTGAAGATTCCTCGAGTGGCTTAAAAACTTAAAACAAATAAAATCCTTTTAAAGTTCCACTTAGCTCACTGATCCAAAAATATGCAAATCAACTAGAAAATAAAATGTCAGCAATATCTGCATATATTATGTGCAGCAGGGCTTTAGTGAGAAAGGATATGGAAAAATCGTTACTCATGTGCATGATTCAGGGTTACTAACAAATTTTAGACAAGTTCCACTAAACTTCCCCTAAGAAAATTAGCACAAATGGGGGTTCATGACAATAAGGGATCATGAGGGATTATACGGGATTATAAGGGATTATAAAGGATCATGAGAGATTATAAGAGATTATGAGGGATTATATGGGATTATACTACTATAGCTTACGGAAGAGATAATTAGCACAAATGAGGGTTCGTGACAATAAGGGATCATGAGGGATTATACGGGATTATAAGGGATTATAAAGGATCATGAGAGATTATAAGAGATTATGAGGGATTATATGGGATTATATACTATAGCTTACGGAAGAGATAATTAGCACAAATTGGGGTTCGTGACAATAAGGGATCATGAGGGATTATACGGGATTATAAGGGATTATAAATGATCATGAGAGATTATAAGAGATTATGAGAGATTATATGGGATTATACTACTATAGCTTACGGAAGAGATAAGTTTCACATACACAAACCAACATCCCATTCACTCGATTTTTGCACCTGCAGAAACCATGACTCGATATCTTCGATTTTTATCAAATTAACTAACCAAATCAAGATATTTTTTTTTACTTTCCTTTGAGTCTTTCTTTATGTCGAAATTCAAGCATTTGGCATTCTTAGGAAGTAGAACATCCACAAGCGTATCTTGATACAACTCCACCTTGTGGGCCTATAAATTGGCATCGATATCGAATGAAGTACTTGAGCCTCGCCGGCGTCCCTATGGGCCCCCTCACATGAGGTTTGTGATGATATCTTGTGTGCAAAACTTCATTTAGTTGATCTTGCTAGATCAGAAAGAGCAAAGTCATCATCACTATGAAAATGAGGGGATAAAGACACCATAAGTGCCATAACTTTCGTACGGCTCTCACTTGAGTGCCATAACTTTTTTGTCTATCATGTGAGTGTCATAACTATTGTAAAGTGCTCACTTAAGTGGCATAACTTTTTTTTCAAACACTTAAGTGCCATCTAACTTTTCAATTGATTACTTGAGTGCCATAACTTTTTAGAAACGTTCACCACAAGTGCTAAGCCATGTTGGATTTTTGGCACTTGAGTGAACGTTTCAAAAAATTTTGGCACTTAAGTGATCGATTAAAAGTTACGGCACTCATGTGAACATTTTTTAGAAGTTATGGCACTTAAGTGATCGAAAAAAAAGTTATGGCACTCAAGTGAGCGCCGTACAAAAGTTATAGCACTTGTGGTGTTCTTATCCCGAAAATGAGCCATCTTCTTTTGCTCCATAGTGATTGTGAAGATAGCATGTGATAGGCCGCGACATGTTTGAATATATTTTCAACTTTAAAAGTTACAACATTGAAAACATAGACGATAGCAGAAATGACAATTATAAGACAAGGCCCGAAACAATTTGCTTCCATGTTAATTCGAAATACATCAAGCTTCGACCATATTATATTACTATACCTTACGGAAGAGATACATTTCACATACACAAACCAACATCCCATTCACTCGATTTTTGCACCTACGGAAACCATGACTCGATATCTTCGATTTTCATTAAATTAACTAACCAAATCAAGATATTTTTTTACTTTCCTTTGAGTCTTTCTTTATGTCGAAATTCAAGCATTTGACAATTTTAGGAAGTAGAATATCCACAAGCATATCTTAATACAACTCTAGCCTATAAATTGGCATTGATATCGAATGAAGTACTTGAGTACTAAAGTCACTAGCGAATCATCACACGTGATATGTTCTTGAGATTTAACAAGTGGTCATATTTTCGGGTAATAAGAAAAATCGATAGTACTTAGGTTTGACTGCATGAGGAGCATTCCTAAAAGTAGCTTTAATGAAAAAAAGAATTTGTTGTTGTGAGAAAAACTCATAAATTCATGACTCGTTCATAAGGTCAACAAAGCGGTTTTAATTTATAGGATGCAAAATGTATCGAAAAATTATAAGGTGCCTACATGCAAAATCTTCGATTTTGAATTGTGGGTCGGCCAAAACATGTGTAAGAGAGATACGTTTCACATACACAAACTCATATATGGTAGGTTCGAAGAAATCAATCAATGTATCAAGAATATAAACATATTACCTAGATTGACTATTCATGTTGGTACTCGCAGTAGCACGAGCCAAAGAACCCCGAGTTAGATACGACGCCATCTCTTCCTTTGTCTTAACTTCCGCTTCAATCACTTGGCGACCGGCAGAGGGAAAAAGGGTAAAAAGAAAAAAACATACGGATATCTTACCAAATAGCATACTTGTATACTTACAAATATTTCAATTTCACTAGCATCTAAAACTTATGCTTGTGACCTCAAACACCTGACGCCATGCCATCAAATACTCAATCATTTATGTGTTGCTTTGCTTTATCATCTATCATGGCAAATTAAGATACCAAAATTAAAATTGAAAATAATAAAAGAACAAACAAATTTACATGGAAAACTTATGCGGGAAGAGCCACAGGGAGATGAAAAACAAAAGAATGAAAATTCAATGATTACGAAAGGTGGCTCAAAAAACCTAAGATTATGCCCAGAATGGTAACATTATTGGTTTCTTATCGTTGAAATCCAGGTCAATACTTGATTATCCTTAGCCTATATGCTTATGATAAAAATTGTCATCGGACAAAATCACCATACTAGCCCCATACGAGTGAGTGAGTTTGATTAGATTGAGAGATTGAAAAGAACCAAAAATCAACAATAACTCAAAACAAGCAACACTTTTTAGGCATGACACATTTATAAGCATGACCCTAAAAGAAGAATTGCATGACATAATTCCTAAGCAAAGAGTGTTATAAAGAATTGCATGACATAATTCCTAAGTGATTTATGCTAGTTGGATATGCCCAATTGATTAAGACTATTTTCACTTCCGATTTTTTGGAATTTCGAGTAATACTTGCAAAAGAGCCATAATCTCGAGGAATGGAGAACAATCTTCTCCTTCTTTAGATTTTGAAGGTTTTATTGTAATAGGCCACATAGGCCGCTTTAGCTGCTATGTTGATCAAACCTTCGTTGCGCTTAAACTTCATTACCACTAAATTGTTTTTGGTACTCTAGCCACTAAGTATTTAGGTAAATGAGACTTCAAATGTACTTCAAATACCGAATTAAAATCTATTATTCTTCTCTTCTCTCTCTCCGCTGTAGTCACTCCGGAATGGTCTAGGTGTTCCTACAAATAGAATAAAAATGAAAACGAGAATAAAAATGAGGCTCTAACACCGCTTCTTATGACACCATGCTATCCAATACTCGATCATATGTGTTTACTTTGCTTTATCATCTATTTGTGGCAAATGCAAAAAACTATAACGAAATTAAAATTGAGAAAAATAAAAGAATACACAGATTTACACAGAAAACCCTTGCAGGAAAAACCACGGGTAAAGGAGAAACAAAATCCAATATGGAAATTCAAGGATTACAAAAGGTGGCTCAAAAAACCTAAAATTGATTCCATCTTTCCTTCTCAACATAATAACTTGAGAAAAAAATAATATTTATACCGCTTCATATGTTTTGAATGCCGTGATTCGATGTTTTAAATTTTAAAAATTTGGGAAAATTTTTAAAAAATCATATTCATGTGTTTTTTAGACAAATTTGACCAAACTTTGATTGGGCATAAGTTTTTTATATGATATTCCATTGACTCGATTTTTGCACCTAAAAAAAGTCTGTGTGCAAAAATTTAGTCAGTCAATGGGAAGAAAGACGTAAAAGTTATCATATTTTAGAATTTTTGGTTTGACATTCCATTGACTCAAATATTTGCACTAATGGAAAGCCGTGACTCGATGTTTTGAATTCATCAAATTGGAGAAATATTGAAAAATCATATTTATGTATTTTTTAGACAAATTTGATGGAACTTTGATTGGGCATAAATTTTTCATATGATATTTCATTGACTCGATTTTTCTATGTATAAAAAACCTGTGACTTGATGTTCTCAATTCATCAAATTTTGAAAATTTTTCATCTTCTCATCTTCTAATTCTTCCTTTTCCAAGGGAAAACTCTTGATCTTCTAATCTTTACTTGTGATGTTATACTTGATGTTTGGTAGTAGATGAGCTCTCTGGTTCGTTTAACTCGGTTGCTTTGGTTTTCTTTATCTGTAACATGGTGGCTTTAAATTGGTACAGTGTAAACTAATTATAGCTACAGACAGAAGAAAAGATGCAAGAGATGGGGCAAATCTCCCGTGCATAAACCCACGGGAATGTAGAACTGCCTTACTATATGTTTACACCAAAACCCAAAAGAACAGGAAAGAAATAAGTCCATACTGTTGTTGCTATACTATAGCCATAACTGTTAACATGAAAGGTTCACCTTTAACACTCAAAAATGGAGTACACCACTGCTCTCTCAAAAGATTTGGTGTATTATTATTTGAATATGTGCGAACTAAAACAATAAAAGCTCTTGATACATATCCAACGCCTGGATGACTTTTTGTATGTACAACTTCCGATGAAACCTATACCTGCCAATATCAAAGGTTATACTTTGTCACCGACCACCGGAAAGAACAGAAATCAACACTTTGGTACTCAAATAGCATGAAGTTCCTAGGATGCTCAGATGAGAAAACTTACTTAATTGCAGCTTCAAATGTCCAACTTTGTGGCATGGAATCTGCGAATAGCATTAAAGTGGATATCACACATATCAAATGATAATCAACCAAGCAACTAGATTTAGTGTAATGTTTTCTTTACCTAGTATTTCCTGGTCTTGCTTCAATGTTGTAGGGAACTGTGCAAGCATCTGTTGGCATTCTTCTTGCAATTCTTTTGCCGCCTTTCTTTCCACGCTGGGCACTGCAGGCAGATCTCTATCTGACCAAGTGGGTAGTGCTCTTGCGGCTGCAAGAACAGCCCCATCCACAAAAGTGCCTCCAACATTGGGTAGATGATCTGGACCTGTTTATGAGATTCAGACAATAATGCCAGAGTAAGATGCCTGGGGTGCTGTAATATAGTGGAAACAATGATGAGGGAATTGGTTCTTTTCATACTCCTATGGTAATATTCATCAGGAAGGCCAGATATGTTGAAGACAGACAAGAACGAATCCAAATGTATATGAGCATTGCCAGAGAACTCAATAGCATCCCAAGGATTCTGTCATAATTTAGCAATATATATCAAGAAGTTAGCTCCACGAAGATACTTAAATTACTGCAGGTACAAATTGGGAACTGAAGAATGACTTCACTAGTAGTAAAAAAATCACCATACTCATGCTTCATAACCAGCAAGACACATAAATACTGTCTAAAACAGTTGAAATCATAGACTCAGAAATTATTAACTATATGTTTCGTGCAACACTGAAAGTAACACAGTCAGATCCATATTTCACGAATAGACCTTACAAGATCTTGCAAGAAAGCTCTCCAGATGACAAAGAGGACTAAGTATATGCCGAGGGCTATTGATGGCTTTGGATGTAAAGGTATTTCTACAGCTTCAGCCACAGCCTCACTCCTGACTTATGCTGTTCAGTTTGCAATACCATAAGTTCAAGAGTCATTTAGACACGTTCGATCACCAACATAAATGGAGTAGGATGAAGTTTTTGGCCTCTTGCTAGCAATGATGTAAGAGCCAAAGCAAAGGGTTGTGATGAAAGAACATCTGGAGTTGGCTGAGATTGTTGACATCTTGTCCTGGAGTTTTCATGTCAATCTTCTGGTAAAGTAATCATTAGAGTTTTCTATTTTGTTTCACCTCTATTATCAATCTTTCATTTTCAATCAAATTATAGATTCTTGACAAGTTGTGCAAGCTACCAGCACCAAGGCCGAATGGCATCTAAAATAGAGAATTGCGAATCGACTCTCAAAATAACTAATGCTTTGTTTGATCAGGCATGACAGACCACTAAAAAAAGTATTTTTAGGCTAATGTCCATGTTGTCTACTTAATTCTCATTAATCTGTCACCATGGTATAGCATTTTCCATTGCTTCCGCCTCATTTGTCAGTGTCAGAGCATTAGCAGTCACCTTTCTACAAGCACCATCTTTTACATGTCCTTTTTAAGTTCCATCATATCACTCCATTCAATTAGATCATATTCTTTTTTGTATAAAAAAATTAATGTTTTCATTCTAAGGAAAGCAATATCACCAAACTGCCCGTGTGTTTAGAACACTATAGAAGGTGTTACTGCCAGAATAATAGTGTTAGCTAGCCAAAGTTGTCCTAAATGAAGCACAAAACCATGGCCTATTTAGGACAGCGAATGTATATACCACTCTGGTGACTATGAAGCACAACCCTAACTGTATGTTCTATGAGGTGCAACATGCATAAAGACAAGCAACTCAGTCAAGCAGTTTGCATAATTGGTGCTCGTACACATAAGAAAATGGTATATTCACAAAGCATTAACTTACCACAGGTGATGAAAAGCCGTATCTTTGCATGAACATGTTATTCTTCTGGCTACCAAGGTAATTGATTGTCATCTGTCAAATCGAAAGACCCAACCAGATTACAGTCTATCACCATCCCAATTATTCATTTACAAGACGAAAAAAACTCTTTCAAAAAGCCTTCGCCCCATGAGCTAGAGTAGCATCACTAGTACTGACATAAGTAGCTGCTCCAGGTCCAGAACTGTATAAGCCGTGAAATTGAAGCAACTTCACATCTAACACGTCAGAATCACCAAGTGTTGGTTCCAGCTAGCAGGTAAAACACAATGCCAATCATTTAAGAATGATCATTAACCAAACCACCATGCCATCTGACATTCCTCGACATGTCAGGGCCTTGGTTCATTCTACCGAGTGTACTAATTGATGGTTTAAACATTCAGTGCATAACACTTAGATTCATTGGCCTGCTTCTAACAATTACAACAAACATTAGTGTGTTGAAAGGTGAATGTGCCGCAGAAAAAAATGTGACTATTACCTCATCTCCCTTTCTTATCCTTTGTCCAGCATTTATCATCACCTCAAGCATGCGATCCTTAAAGCGCCAATGTAGAAAACAATTTGGTTCGAAAGAATGATTGAGCATGTCTGCATGTCCACCCAAAGGTATTATATAAAGTTAAGTCAGTCTGACAACTGTTACAAAAAGTGGGAATTAATGAAGAGAATACAACAGATTCAACAATACATAGAGCATTGACAAAATACAAAAAATCAAAGTAGACAGCAAATTCCACTGTGAACAAATGAATCGTGTAATGTAGAGAAAATAACAGCTAAATACTATATGAAGGTGTGTAAAACTAACCAGCATAAGGAATTAGCATATTAGAATCCTGAATAAGAGCACCTATCCTTATTTGCATGCCAATACTTCGTGACTGTGCCACACTCACTGCCCAAGTGAATCTCTCAGGATCGCGAGCGAGACGCTTAATCTTGAGTGGTGCACCATTATGCTGGGGGATGTTAAGTCCACAAACAAATATTCAGCAAAAGAGAAAAGTATACCATTCGAAAATTATTACTGAAGAACATACAGACAGCATGGATCAACTAACCCAATGTTTTTCCCAAAAGTCCAGGGCACGTCTTTGCTGTTGTTTCATAGTTGAAGCAAGGGTTGGATCCTGCAACTCCGAAAGATCCCCCTGTAGCAATTAATTCATGAATGAGCAAGATACATCCTAAGAAAAAGCTGGAGAAGGAAGGGAGTGTTCCCAAAAAACCTAGTAGTCCATTATAGTGGCTACAATATAGCAGTCACGGCCATCGCAGCTACCAATATCACCAGTATAGTGCTGAGCTAAAAAGTCACACTATTAGCGGTCGATAGAGGCCACTATCAGAGGTATTTCAGTAATAATGCCGGTCCCAGTGTCATTGCCATCATTTGCCATTCAACCACAGAATAACCCCAAAAAAGTTGCACTATAATTAGAATCAATCCAATCTTAGATTGATGAAACAACAAATCTGCCAATTCAAATTCAGCATTTCTGTTATTAGTACTAGAAGCAATGGAGCCATCTTTAGACATCTTTAGACAGCTATCTAATACACAGCTATCTAATACATTCAAATATTCATATAACTTAACCTCTTAACATCTTTAGACACATTGAAAAGCACTCTGAACGTATATTTAACACACGGAAGTATTATGATTCTACCATATGTTGTGTGAACACTTTAAGAATGTCACACCTCTGATGACTGCAATTCACTGTTTGGCCGCCACAATGCCAACATTCATGACTACTGTAACACAACAACTTCTGCAACCGCACTCTAGACAACCATCAACATAGAAACTTAACTACAAAGAGGAATAAGTTAAAGATGATACTAGATACAGAAGCAAGCGTAACGGCTCCATGTCAGTACATTAATAGATGCATATGTGCAGTGCTCCAGCCTTTCATCAACCAAAAGCTTAATGATCAAGACATATTGCACTAAGATTAAAATCAGTGGATACTCATGGAGACGGGAAGTCTGACATAGAGTTTACATAGAGTTTGAGGCAAAAATATTGTCAAAGTCCAAGTAGAAAAAACAGACAAGAGACAAAACTAAAAGATCTCATCGCTTAAAGAATTAAAAGAAATCAGAAATTCATCTAAATAGAAAAAAAATTGGAAGATTAAAGGAAAAGGTAAATAATAGGAAATAATAACCTCTGTTGCTAGAAGCAAGCTAGTGCACTCATCTGCACTTGGTAAAAAGTCTCCATATAACTGCCAGAAGTTGTCCGGCTTATCAAATGCATAGAGAAGAAGACATGCCATTCTCAGGTCCCAATCCGTCTGCATGTAAATTATCACATGCAATTCTCTTGTCAGTTATATACATGCTACAAAAAAATGGCAGAAGCAGCATCTGTTTCTGGGAACACAAGACTTGAACAAACGGTCATTAATGTTACTGAATAAGAACAGGGGCGAATTACCTCTGGATTGGTTGAATTAATAATATCAAAAATGGGATGACCAATCGGTATTATATCTGGGAAGAACATCCAAGGGGGCTTTTGTCTAATGGTTAACATTAGTTCCAGTGGAATTTCCATGATTACCTGAACAAAAGTAAAAGATCATCATGCCTTATCTTAAGGTAGTCTTGAGAGAATCCAACTGTAAATTACCGACGGCAGGACAATAGATTTCACATCAAACACCGAGAAAAGAAGAAGAAGAAGAATGCAAGAACATGGAGATTCACAGTCATCCTTGGGTTAGTCATTCAACGAAATGTTTTGTAAAGTAAGCAGTCCACACACCCTAGCACGGCGCAGTGGCTCAACATCTTTGGAAGCATAGACTCCAAATCCATCCGGCCCTTCCTTAAATTCTATTCCATAAGCTCGCATACTTCGAACATATCCAATCTTGTAAAAATCGGGGTCCGCTGGTTCGAGCTGTAGAGTACAATTCAGAGCTGAAAATCACACTTAGCCAATGAAAGTAGATACGCATCAATGTACCTGTGAGATTTGGTGGGACCACAACCAGCTGTTCTAAAAGCTTAAGCTGTTTAGATGAATGCGTGGTTTAATATTTAATTACTCTAAGACTCCCCCTCACGCTTAGTCTGGTCTTCTTGCCTAGTACTAAGCGAGAACATATTTAATTGAGGAGATAAATAGGGCCTGAAAAGATCTGAATTCAGGACCTCCAGCTCTGATACCATGTGAGCTTTTAGAACAGTTGGCAGTAATCCCACCAAAATCTTTCAATACCCTTGTAGATTTATGAATGACGGTCAAAGTAATCATCTAGGCCTTCCTAATCGCAGTAAAAGACATAAATGTGCATGCAATATAGACCTTTTACGAATAGATGGTGGGCAACTTCTGCTGCAATTCGAGATAAATAGGCAGGCAAACAGAGACCCGCGAAAGTTTGCGGTGGAAATGGAAGAAGTGAATGAAAGAAACAGCAAGCTCTTTCTTTGACTCACGATTCGCTACGTAGTGCTAGTATTGCATACAGACGAATGATGGTAACTGGGTTGGGGGCTACCTCAGAGAGAGATTCTTGGGTAGGGGAAGGCTGAAAGAGTGGGAATGAGGAAGGTGAGTCCGCCAGCGAAGGAGCTGCTGTGATGGGTCCAACGTTAGACGCTCGCCAGTCGCGGTCCAGGCGATATCCGGGTCTTGCAGGTGGTATAACCCCAGGCAAACGCCTCCACTGTCGTGTTTTTCCCCACCCACCAAATACGAAACCAACAAGAAGGTGACTTTGAGTGTCTGTCCACAATCATTCCATACTCTGTGTGCGTGCGCGTGCGTGAGAGAGAGAGAGAGAGAGAGAGAGAGAGAGAGAGAGAGAGAGAGAGATGTGGGTTGGACCTGTTGAATGGAAGAGTTGAAGTAGTGGTTTGGCCGAGGGAGAGGAACAGAGAGCGTCATTCTTGACAAGCCTACACCTGCAGTGATTCTCCAAGAAGAGCAGCAACCGCAGCGGAGATGAGCTGAGCCCGAGGGAGCTTACGCTGAAGCAACAGCAAATGGATAATTCCTCCTCCCCATCTTCAGCAGTCAATCCGTCTTCGCTTCTTTTATTTGTACTTATTATTTTTATTTTAAAAAAAGAGAACTTTAATGGAAATTGACAGAAAAGAACCTATATATTGAGCAAAAGGCGACTCTTTTAAACGTGTTTTCCAGTTCGTTTTTGGCCAGAACCCGACCCTCCTCCGAACCGCGCCGCGCCGCTTGGCCCCGACCAGAAGAAGGCCACTCACAGCACCCTCCCACCGACTCGTTCTTTTGCTGGCGGTGGAATCACAGACGCAAAGCCTTGCTCTCTTCTCTTCTTTGCCCCGCGGAGATATGCCACAAGGTTGGTCTCCCCGAGCTCTCCACGATTCTGTTTGTTCTCTGGGTCGAGTCGTGTCCCTGGCTTTTGTGGTCTTTCTTTGGTATTCTGTCTCTTCTTCTTCTTGCTTCTTCTTTATGTTGATGGATTGTTTGTGGAATGTGGTGTGAACAGAGCTTCCGGGGTTCTACTTCGATGCGGAGAAGAACAGGTACTTCCCCATCAAAGGCCCCATTCCTGGCTCCAAATCAAAACCCTCCAGCTCCACCCCAAGCCCCACCCCCACTCGGGTACTCTTCATTCTTACTTTTTTTGCATGAAATTTTCTCATATCAGAAAAAAAGTTTTGATTTTGAGGCCATGTGATCGGAGTAATTAGTTTTCCTTGCATAATGTTTACGTGATTAGTTTTTTTTCCCCCCTAATGGTTTCAGCGTGGACCCGTCTCGAGCCGAACATCCATTCTTCTTGATGCGAGGGAATTGAATGGCAATCCTTTATGGTTGAAGCGCGCCAAGTGTAGATTCCAGGACGAGTTCCTCAAGATTCGGGCTTCCCGTCCTCAGGTACTATTATTGCTTCTGTTCATTCACCAATTGGCCTTAAGGTATGAATCGCACCTTTGTCAATGTCACGCGCAGTATCTTAAGTCGATGAGAGTATGCTCGATCAAAACATTCTTTTTCAAACTGTAATAAGTGCTTGATTAAGAACCCGGAATGTGAAGTTTGTTGTGAAGACGATATGACTTGCTGCAGTTGCCTATACGGCTATCTAAACCCAACAGGATCTCCCTGTTGTTGTCCAACCCGAGTGCAGCTTTATCTTTATGCTTTTTATGCTTCGTTGTGCAGGTGTGGGCATTTCACGGGACAGACAAGATAGCTGATGGTGCTTTGGAACAGATGCGTCTCCGTATAATGACACCAGAGGGTCAAACTGCAACGGTTGGCCTGCTGGCTGGGGGCAGAAATGGCTCTTTGAGGTGTGTTGCTTGCTATGCTCTCTGCATTTGAGCGTTTTGATCCCTAGTTGGAATTGCAGGGCAATAAGCAAGTGTTGTCCTTCCTCCAAGTTTGCTCTGTGGGTATGTGGAGTTGAAATGTCGAACATGTGTCTGCACAAAAGTATTGTCAGCCATTATCTTGTCAGTTTATACTAAAGTCAAGCTGATGTAGAATGATTCCTTTTCGATTTAAATGTGCGCTTTTGTTGCTTGACAAGTCAATGAAACAAATGTCCTATGAACTCTGTAGCTTAGTCTACTAAATCTTTTCGTGGCTTCTTTGAGTCTCCTTCTTCATTCTAACATCACTGTCTATATGCTCTCACCTGACCATCTTTCTTTAGTGTTGTCCACATAATTGATGCTAAAGATCTAATTTGATATCTAAGTCCTCTGTGTTCTTATAGATCAGTTGCAATGGAGCATCTGGACTTTCGAGCGCTTTCTGCTTGAAATACCTGTTGTCTTGACAACCATCTAGGTTGCGCAAGATTTTTGTTTAGTTGCTCTCAAGTATGGCCAATTTGTGGCCTTGTTATTCCATGCACGCCTGCTTGAGGGCACTATCTCATAATGAATGGCTTCACAGCTTGGTTTGTCGGTTTTGGTTTTTCAAAAAGAAAAAAAAAAAAGCCACATCATTCTTATTTTATGTTCTTTCTGCGGCCACTTTTCTTTAGCTATATCTAATAATATAATCGTTACATTGTGGAGTATGTGGCTGACATTGCTGCATCATTATTCTTATCAGAATTTCTTTATTTGTAATCTGAAAGAGTATTCTGAATGTTTTGCAACTTTTGGGATATGCAGATATAGTCTTGTTAGATAGAGATACAAAGAACTATGTGAAAGAATAAGGATATTGCTTTCTACTTAAAATGTTCATCCAAGAATATAGATGAGTACAAGAAACTTGAGATTTTGGACTGAAAGTTCAAATGCATGAGTACAAGAAACTTGAGATTTTGGACTGAAAGTTCAAATGCATGAGTACAAGAAACTTGAGATTTTGGACTGAAAGTTCAAATGCCAAGCTGTGTGCAGCATGAAGATCATACAGCAATAGAACTTTTATTACTCTTCAGAGAACCCCAATTTGTTGCTTGAATGGAATCTCAAATCAAGACAGAATGTATATCGTTCTTGTTTTATTAGTTAAGATGAAGCTATTACAAGTTATTGCATCGAGAGTTTGATGCTTTTCGCAGTTTTTGTGAAGTTGGAAAAGTTGGCCAACATTTTGATTATGGGGTAAAATGCATGCCAGAACATGTGTGGCCTCTCAAAAGAGAACATGAAGAGTGCAAGGTACCTGTTCATCTTTGGAGACCTCCAACTGTACAATTTTCTTCAGATGTCTCCTGCATTAAAATGCCAGGAAGGCGATCCATTATAGTTGATGGTGATCATATTCAACATGCACTGTATCCTTTACTTGTATGGATGTGCTGTATTCTTCAGTCACAATTACATGATATTTCGCCTCTTGTCCTCCTCAAGTTATAAAATCATTACATACTTGCTTGGTCTTCTTGTTTTTCTTTGCTTCAGTTTCACTCTGGTGTTTGGCACCTCTCTGGAATTTAAATCATCGCGTTTAATGTTCTTTGCTTAATGAGTAGATTTGCGATCTCTTTACCTTTGCTTCCCACTGTCTTATGCTCCAATTCACATGTTGAGGCTGGACATTGTGAACTGAAAATATAGGTTTATTCAATAGGTTATGTACTTTGTTGTTTGACGTTATATTTATTCTTTTGTTGCTCTCTAGTAAATTGGAACAAATGATGAATCAAGAAAAAACCTGGAACATCAAAGCACAAAGACAGCATAGAAAGAGCTTTTACCTATAATCAGCACAAAAATCTGCTGCTTTAACAAAATGTGAAAACTGAAATTTGTCACTTCAAAACAATGGTTCACTCAAGCAAATAGCTTATTACAAATATGAATAACAAACTCTGTTGTATCTTAGTTCTAATTATCTCTCATCTGGATTAGCAACATAGTGAGTTCCACCATCTTTTTTGAAACAATTTAAAATAGTCACTCATGCAGTTAGTTTCAATACTCACAACAAATTGAAAGGAAAGAAGCATTCTCTGCATTCAGCAAACAAACTTGTTTAGCATTTTGTGGTTATGATTATTTAGGACATTCTTTCAAGTTGAGATACCTTAACCTGCATGCAGGATTACTACTTTAGGTTCAGAGAGATCTGGTGGTTCTGTTCATATTCTTAATCTAGCTGAACCTTTTGATTTTCCTCTGCATACTTCAACTATAAGGCGGAGGCTGCATGATGTTACTTCTTTCCATTGCACCATATGGACAGCAGATTGCTCTTCTAATGGCAGTCGAGCAATTGTTGGCAAGTCTCTCTCTCTCTCTCTCTCTCTCTCATTGACAATCCTCCAGTGCACACACAAATAGTATTGTTTTCGGGAAGCTTCAATTAGTTACTGAATCTCTGAAGCTGTGAGAGCTTGGTAATTGTTCGAGCATGAAGAACCTACTTTAGTATGTCACATCAGGTTCTTGCTTGGCTGAACCCTTTGCATGACCGATGATATACATTAATTCTTCTTTGACCTATATTTTATTTTTTGCTTCTAGATTCATGTTTGAGGGTTTTTTAGATGCACTTATTCAACTTGTGGTTAAGTTTATGAGTTAATTCCCGGTGCCAAGTTTTGCTCTGTGCACTGTGAATGCATTTTCAACATTGCATGTTTGTATAAAGCTCAAACTTTAGCTTTTAAGCAAAAGCAAGGATGTTTTTCTGATTCACTTTGTACTTTTTCTGGCTAGTTCTTCCAGTATTTATATGTTGTCATTGTATTTCTAGGCACGAATCTGGGAGCTGCATTGGTCAATTTGGAAAGTGGGGTGGTATCCTGGGTGTGTCGTGGTAAAAGTGATGTTCTCGCGCTGCAATTTGACCAGTTGGTAATTCTTCATGTCTTTCGAGATTCCAAAGATATAGAATCATGATGTTTTGTGCTTTTCCTTTTTTTAGTGGATTATTATTTTGGCAATCACAAAATTATCTTTTGTTGAAAAACAACCTTTTCTTTTTGTGCCTTTATTGGATAAGCAGTCTCGTCTTTTCTCTGGATGCTGACACCTTTAATCCTTCTTGAAGGGAAATATCGCATTGTGCGGATTCAGAAATGGGGCTATTGTTACAGTCGATGTCCGAGAAAACCAAGGGTTGTCTTCTTCTAGACTGATTAGTCATCAGATACCTTCCTCTCCTTCAGAAAGATTTCGTGGGCATTCTCAAAAGCAGTGGTTTAAGGTAATCGTTACGGGCACTTTTGCTTAGGAAGTGAAAAGTACTTATTTGCTTTCCCACCAAAATTTAATAAATGATTCTAATTTCAAAAAATAATGAAAAGAATATATTCAAATTTGAGTGCTGATATTTGTCTATTGTGAAAGCTTCTGATGTTTTGGGTTAAAAAGTAGTCGAGTGCATGACCTTCGAGAGATAAAGAAAAAGAAAAATGCAAAAAGTAAAATCTTCTTGATGATGTGAATTATAAAATAGTTGTTCCGAATGACCATTATTTTGATCTTTTCCCCCTCCATTCAGAGAAACTGTTGGCTTTCTGTTTCACCCACATTTATAACAAAAACCTGCCTTACGCTCTTTTAGGAATCTTGGATTCTTGTAAATTTTTCATGCTTGGCCAAGAGTACTTTTAGTCTCATCTTTACTTTCTCAACTTGTCTTATATAATTTTTGGCATCAATGCTGTCCGAATCTCTTGCCAGAATAAAGGAGAGTACTAGGAAAATGTCGAGTGAATGTCTTTTCCTTTAACATTTATGAAAATCTTTTATGAAAATTTCCTTGTCTTGATGTCCTTTATTTGACTGCATCATGGGTTTGTCAAGTGATTGGTAATGAAACTTGGGATTTGATACCTGCAGCTCTCTGGAAAAATATATCCAACCGATACAACTTATATGCCTAAGTCTATTTGCAGGTTCGTTTACCTTTAATGTCATCGAAATAATTGTTCTGATTTGTTTCATGTGATGCTTTTGCTAACATTTACCCACTTTGAATAACTAGTTTGGTGTCACTCCAGTTGTACGACCAATACTTCTTAGCGAGTTCTATGGATGGCACGGTCAGTGTCCATGATCTATCTACTTTTATTTGTTTATCTATGTAAAATAGTTTCCTTTGCCCATGCAGTCTCGTAATCTTCTGAAATTTATGTCTCTATATGAGTGGTATGAGGTCTTATTCATAGGTCATTGAACACTTTAATATGAAAAATGGCCTCTCCACATTCCAAGAGAGATTCGTTATCATTGTTTGTCTTGTTAATGAACAGATCAATCTGTATGATCATCGCCAAATTAAAAAAGGGCCTATGCAGTCCTATGAAGGGCAAGTGAATTCCCATACCCATACACAGCTTGGGACGGACCCGTCAGAGAAATTTCTGTTGTCAGGTGATTATGGCTGTTCTCTGAATGTTTTTGTTTTAAAATTGTCTCTAGAATCTACTGACTTCCTTATTGTGCCTTTGATCTTAGGTGGAGAGGACTTCTATATGCGGCTCTGGAATATCAAGTCTGGGAAACTTCTGTTTGAGGATAGATTTTCAACTTCGGTCCCCTTAGTTTCTTGCTGCCAGTCGACTGAAAGTAATACAACTTATCTTTACATAATTAAGCCCAAATTCCGTGGTTCTGTTGGTTTTTGACATTTCTTTTGAGTACTCTTTACTAATTTTGCTCGTTGACTTGATTGTTTTAACTTGTTCAAAGGATATCCAAGCGAGTTGGATGGCAGACAAAACCATATGGGATACTCACATGGGCAGCATGAGAGCTGGGGGTCGTGGGTTGGGTCACGGGATGGATTATACTATGTGCAATGGTACTGATTCATGATTCTGATATATGACTCTCCATTATTAACGATCCATGCATCTGGAAAATGAATGCTGAAGTTGGATGCTCAAGCCTTGCTGGCGCGTCGGGACATCATTCCAATTTGACCTTTTACACTCCCGGGTTGTGATAACCACTTTCGAGTGTCTTGAGGAATAACTCATCTCCATGGAGGATACGAACTGAGGTTCATTCACGAGACCTTTTTTTCCCCCAAGAAGCAGTGCTGACTTTATATAGCTATAACTTTTCTTCTTAGTTCAACAATAGTGAGCAAATTCTTAAACCTGTTTCTTAGGCTGCATAGTGTTTTTTTTTTCCCTTTTGTTGTTCAGTAAACAGACGTAAGTTTATAAAAGTTAGCTTCTGTGCTTTCTAAAGTATTGAAGCCTTTGCGTGGATGTAGCTATTCTTGTAGTACTATCTTTGCCTTCATTTCAACTGGCTTCTCACTACTGTGAGAGAATGTAGCTGTTACACTTGTGGAATGGAGTGATTGAATTTATTAGGGAGCATTTGGTGTCTATTTTATGGCTCACCTTCCCTTTAATCTGTTCTGTTTTTACACTCATGCATCGTACTTCCCAAGTGTCAGAGAAGCCCAAAATGGGTGTGAGAAGATGTCAAAATCGCAGATTTTGTGACCTCTCCAATGCCGAACGAGGCTTTGGAGTCGAAGAGAAAGTGTTGTATGTATGAGGTTGTGAGAACCAACAAATGTGCCGATGATGTCGGCGAGACAACAGAGGTCTCTTTTTGGTTCATCCATCTTGGCTTTATGTCGGATTCTGGTTCACTTGGCTTTCGGTTTCTGCAATTTCAAGCTAAGTTAAATTGCAAACGTTAAATAATTTGATTTTCGCAGGTTTAAATACTGTTCAAGTTCGCAATTTGTCACTCTTCTTAGTTAAGTCTGGATCGATCAAATTCGTGGTCAAGCAGATTGGGTAGGTGTTGGGATCAAATCGTTATTGCTACTTCTACTGTCAGTGAGAAAAAAAGGGACTCCCAATGATAGGCAGCAAATGTAGACATGATCCCAACTTTCTGGATTTGGACATGAGTCGCCTTTCTTATATTGCCACCCATTATTAAGACCGATGTTGAATTGGCCGTGCGGCAAATACATCCAATCGATAAAATGGAAATTACCATTGCTTATGCTTCAATGTATTCACTCTCCGACGTAGTTAGGATTGAGCCACCATGGTCGCTCGCATTCTGAGATAAAGAAGATTCTTTTAAGCAAAAACGATACAATGATATGTATGGGAGGTTCAAAGGGTGAGGGACGACCTCGGAAAGAAATCGGACCCTTCAATACTCAAGTTAAGCCGCTTTAACTTTTATGGTTCAAATGGAGACAGATTTGCTTGTCCTAGTCTCCTGGTTCAAATGGCGGATGTTGTCCAGTTGAAAGCAGAGCCAGAGCAGAGGAGTCGTCGTCCCAAACGGTAAATAAACGCCCGCAATGTCCTCCATTCCCGCTCCTCCCCTTCCTACTACTCACCCCGTCTCTGTGTCCTCTTCCGTCGTCCCACCCAGCCACCACCCTTCCCACGTCTCTCCTCCTCCGCCAGTATCCGGCAACACCTTCCCCATCACCACCTCCTCTGCTCTTCCTCCTCCTCCTCTTCCGCACCCTTCGCTTCCCACCCCACCTCGCTCTTCATGGATCGAATCCCTCCGCTCCCAAGCCAGGTCGAACCTTTTCCGGGACGCCGTTTCCACCTACGCAGACATGATGGCTCTCGCCGGTATCCCTCCCGACCAGTTCGCTTTCCCTGCCGTCCTCAAGGCCGCCGCGGGCCTCCGGGAGCTCAATCTTGGGAGGCAGATTCACGCCCATGCTGTTAAACTTGGGTACGAGCAATCTTCCGTTACCGTGGCCAATACCCTGTTGACCATGTATGACAAGTGCGGGGACATCGGGAACGTCTTTAAGCTGTTCGACAGAATACCTGAGAGGGATCAAGTTTCTTGGAACTCTATGCTCGCGGCACTGTGTCGGGATGAGGAGTGGGTTCTTGCGTTAGATTGCTTTCGTTCGATGGTGGCGGAAAATTTGGAGCCCAGCTCCTTCACTTTGGTGAGTCTGGCACTCGCATGCTCAAACTTGCCGCGAGGCGATGATGGCTTAAAGCTCGGGAAGCAGGTTCATGCTTATAGTTTGAGGAAAGGGGATCGGAAAACGTTTACCAACAACTCTTTGATGGCTATGTATTCAAAGTTGGGAAGGGCGGGTGACTCAAGGGCTTTGTTTGAATCATTTGAAGACCGTGATCTGATTTCGTGGAACACCATCATAAGCTCGTTAGGCCAAAATGAATGCTTCTTGGAAGCTTTGATGCTCTTAGTTCGCATGGTTCGTGATGGAATTAGTCCTGATGGAGTAACGATAGCTAGTGTTCTTCCTACTTGTGCCCAATTGAAGATGTTAAATGCAGGTAGGGAAATACATGCTTATGCCTTGAGGAATGAGGCCTTGATTGGGAATTCTTTTGTGGGCAGCGCTTTAGTTGACATGTACTGTAACTGTGGGCGGATTGAAAGTGGTCGTCGAGTTTTTGACAGTTTATCTGATCGGCAAATTGGGCTTTGGAATGCTATGATCGCTGGTTATGCACGAAATGAACAGGATCATGAGGCTTTATCGCTCTTCCTAGAGATGGAAGCAATTTGGGGGCTTAGTTCAAATGCTACCACCATCGCAAGCATCTTGCCTGCTTGTGCACGCTGCGAAGCATTCTCTGTCAAAGAGAGCATTCAGGGGCATGTTATAAAGAAGGGCTTGCAAAGCGATATGTATGTGCAAAATGCACTCATGGATATGTATGCCAGAATGGGGAAGATAGGCATTTCTAGAATTATCTTCGACAGCATGGAACTCAGAGATTTAGTTTCTTGGAACACAATGATCACTGCATCTGTTATTTCTGAATGCCACGAAAGTGCACTTGCTTTGTTAATGGAGATGCAGAGTAGAGGGAAAGATGCTAGGAAGGAGGAGGATATGTACAATGATAAAAAAGTACATTTTTGGAAACCGAACTCGGTCACCCTAATGACAGTGCTTCCGGGTTGCGCTTCACTAGCTGCTATTCTGAAGGGAAAGGAGATCCATGGTTATACCATCAGAAATTCATTAGCATTAGATGTTGCAGTGGGAAGTGCATTAGTAGATATGTATGCAAAATGTGGCTGCTTGTACTTATCGAGAAGAATGTTTGACCAAATGCCGGTTAGAAATATAATCACCTGGAATGTCATTATAATGGCCTATGGCATGCATGGCAAGGGTAAGGAAGCATTGCAATTATTCAACAATATGGTGGAGGATGGAGCTAATGGTGAAGGGGTGATGCCCAATGAAGTTACCTTCATTGCCATATTTGCTGCATGCAGTCACTCTGGAATGGTTGAAGAGGGAATGCAATTGTTTTACAGTATGAAAAATGAATATGGAGTTGAACCATCGCCAGATCATTATGCTTGTGTTGTCGATTTACTTGGTCGAGCGGGTCAAGTGGCCGAAGCCTTTCGGTTGATTGATTCCATGCCTACTGAATATGACAGATCGGGTGCCTGGAGCAGCTTGCTTGGTGCTTGTCGAATTCATCAAAATCTTGAGGTTGGGGAAATTGCGGCTATGAATCTCCTTGAGTTGGAGCCGGATGTGGCTAGCCATTATGTGCTACTGTCGAACATTTATTCTTCTGCAGGACTTTGGGACAAGGCAATGGATGTCAGGCGGAAGATGAAGGAAAGGGGAGTAAGAAAAGAACCTGGGTGCAGTTGGATTGAATTTGCGGATGAGGTTCACAAGTTCATAGCAGGGGAATCATCACATCTGCAAAGTCAGGAGCTCCACCGATTCTTAGAGACGTTATCAGATAGAATGAGAAAAGAAGGATACGTGCCTGATACTTCCTGCGTTCTGCACAATGTCAACGAAGAGGAAAAAGAGGCCTTACTTTGTGGACACAGTGAGAAGCTTGCTATAGCTTTTGGTATCCTCAACACTCCTCCGGGAATGACCATCAGAGTTGCCAAGAACCTCAGAGTATGCAACGACTGTCACACAGCTACCAAGTTTATCTCCAAGATAGAGGAGAGGGAGATCATTTTAAGGGATGTGAGGAGATTCCATCATTTCAGGGATGGGAAATGTTCTTGCGGCGACTACTGGTGAAGATCGCCTACCAAAAAGTCCACGAGAAAGAGTCAGAAGATTGTGTTGAAGGTGTAGGGCACTCTCTCTCTGATCAAAATAACTGCAAGTCGAGGGAGACCCGTCGGTTCACTGACTTTTTGGATGCTGTGGAGGAGCAACATGATAAATGAGGGGAAATTCGAACAAGCCGTATCCTGGTGTTGTAGTTATAGTCTAAAGTCATTATATTGTCTATCAGAGTCTCACGTGCAAAGGCAGGTACCATATTGCTTGTACATGTTTAGGATTTTCTCCATTCTTTCACTTGGAGACTCTGTATACGATTTATAATAAATCAAAGGTACATAATTGGCTTTTGCTACGAATTGGCTTTTGGGAATTTAATGCTGATCAAGTAGTAGATAATTTATTTCCCTCGTCTGTTTGGAAATGGGACTCTGCATAATTATGTTGGTTTTCATGCTATTCAGTGGGATCATATATTCTTTTTTAGTAATTGAACCAATCGGCAACGTGATCCATGGCTTGCTCGTTGCGTGAGACTTTAACATGCACCGTTTGAACCTTACATGTCATTGCCCCCAAAAAATCTCTAAACTTTGACTCGATATGAAACATGTTATATGAACCTTTTAATTTGTTCAATATGATCCGTGAAATTTACCTCAATGTGCAACGTGGTCCATAGACTTTAAATTCTTCAATGTGGTCTCTAGACTTTTGTTGCATGTTTAATTTAATCCATGGACTGCATGAAAATGCTAAATGTTGTCCATGAACTTAAATTAATGAAATGACAACATTGAACATTTACATATAGTTAATGGACTAAATTGAACATATGCTGAAAGTTCAAGGATTATATTGTACATTGGGATAAAGTTTGGGGACTATATTGAATAGATTCAAAGTTCATATACCATTTATGTCATTATTTCTTGATTAAATATTGAATTGACATCGAGTTATCTTCTCTCTAACCTTCTTTACCCTTTTTTTTCTTGCTTTTCCTTGAATTTTTTTATTTGCCTATCCTTTCTATGTTTTCTAATTTTCTCTCGTATTTTTCTCCCCTCTCTTACATCCATTCTTTGTTATTTTACATCAAAGATAGTTTCGTCTTATGTTAATTTTATTATGTTTATGATACCGTGTTTTAGTTGCACAAATCAACATGTATTTAAGCAAACTCTATACCTGTCTAAATAAAACTCTTGCGCATTTATACTGTAACGTTCATTTCCTAGACGTGCTAAGCATGTTATATCATATTAGGTAACTTATAGGTAAATATGTTGTGCTTTGATTTTAAAATTACGACAAGATTAATAAATGACA